ACAGGCCTGATCCTAGGTTGCATGGCGGCCCACATCTGTGCTCCTCTGGGAATGGCCACAGTTGGCACATGTACTCCTTTGTCATATCTTCTCTTCTGGGAAAACAATACAGGTCCAAGTTTTGTTTCTTTGCCTCCAGGAGCCTAGGGTTGGTATTTAGAAAGCAGAGGTGTCTTGTGTAGAACATACATTCCAACAGGAAAAGGGGTTTGTCTGGAATGACCATCACTGTGTTCTCAGCTCCAAAAGAGGTAGCAGTGAATGTTCCTAGTGTGATTAAATGTTGAATACTCCGAGGCGCTTCAGGGCCAATTACCTCAGGGTTTTCTGCACGGTGGATTTTGAACCCAAAGCTGCTGTATCGCGAGGCATTGTGTCTTGTGCATTATGGAGGTTCACTTACTTACTTAGAGCAGCACAAAATGCCTCCCAATATTGCCTTTGCTCATGTGGGTCACTGCCCTTCCAGATGAGTACCCTGGTCTGCAGGCAGAGGGCTCTGGCTAGTATTCTGTATGGAGAATGTGATCTCTGCTATTGGTAAGGTAAGAAGATATAATAAAGGTATATGTTGCATATGAGGTTTTGGTAAGAATGTCTCTTGCTTGAAATCTGTTCCACATCTTTTCCCTTCTGTTGCTTATATGGCAGCAGCCTTACTTAGTGTGTATTGCCTTTTCAAGAAACAGCTGCAAATCTGTAGCCCCAACTACTCAGGAGGCTGAGGCAGAAAGATTTCAAGTTCAAGGTTAGCCTGGAAAACTCAGTGAGACCCTGTCTTAAAACAGTGTTTTTTTTAAAAATGCTGAGGTGTAGCCTAGTTGCCTAGTATGTGTGAGGCTCTGAGTTTAGTCCTCAGTAGTGAAGGGAGGAAAAAAAGTCACAGTAGATGATAGCAGATGAGATCATTTGAATCAGCAAATCCAGTGCACACTGGCCTGTTGACAAGGCAGGCCACTTGAAAATCTTGGCTTATTTGCCTTTCTAAAATGGGCACTGTGACGGTGTCCCAGTCTTGCTTGTTAAGGAAGCCTGAGGCTCAGGGGTGAGGTTGAGACACAGTGGTGTGTTTTAGTATTGTTGACAAGTTCGGTGCATAGAACACCAGACCTGCACTGACCAGCCCAGCCAACAGAGTCCTGACATTACTGTATTAGTCCGAGAGACAGATGTTTATAAAACTGCCCAGCAGCTAGATGAGACCTCTGAAATCAGAATCACAACTTCCTTCATGAAGAAACTGGGAAGCTCTCTGTCTACCTTAGAGTTCCTGAGATCAAAAGCCAGGACCAAATGTAACGTGGGCAAGAAAGGTTTTATTTAGGTACATTTCTTCAAATGTTTTGTTTGTTTGTTGTTGTTTTGTTTTTTAAATTCTAACTACCACACTGAGCTTCTATGGAGCCTGACATTCCTTTCCTAGTCCTGACACATTGGTATGTAACTGTTAGCCTATCAAAGGATGACTGTGGCCCCGCATGTTCCTGATTGGTGCTGTGAAGACCTCCCCTACCCTGCTTCATTGGAAAGACTATTTTAAACCACATCTTCTAATTCCCACAGACACACTCTTGAGTTAACAATGAGATTACAAGGAAGTGGTGGCCTTGTTGAGAACACCCCTAGATTCCACCATAAAGAAACGGCAGCAAATGGGACTGAGATAGCTCAGTAGCTAAAGTGCTTGCCAGGCAAGAATGGGGGTTTGAGTGTGGATCCTCAACACCAGTGTAAAAAACCGATATAGTGCACTTGTAACCACCCTTGCCCCGGCACTGGGAGACTGAGACCGGAGAACCCTGGAGGTTTGCTGCGCAGTTAAAGTATAACAGCAGACTCCAGGTTCAGAGAAAAACAAGTAAGTGTAAGTGGAGAGTTACAGAGGAAGATACTGACCTCTACATATGCACATATGGATGAGTGCACACACACACACACACACACACACACACACACGCACGCACGCACGCACGTGCACACACAGAAAAAGTTAGGTTTTGTTTTGTACTTTTAGATGTACAAGTGTGGGTGGTAGAGATGGTGCTCACTGTGCAAGCAGGAGGACTTGAGCGCTATGTGTGGTGAGCATGCCTGTAATCCCAGGGTCAAACAGAAGGACCCAGGAGGATCCCAGGTACCAGTCAGTTGGTAGAGAGTGATTGTGGAGATAACCCTGTGTGCACATGAACACACAAGTGCACACACAGAAACGAAAGCGTGGAACTGGGTGAAGCTCCGTGGTTGAGCGCATGCTTAGCGTACGTACATGAGACACGGGTTTTGTGATCATGCTGTCGTGGCTGGGCAGCTCTGCAGTGTGGGATAAGGAGAACTGTCACGAGCCCATCATCTGGTTTTGTTGAGTGCTTGTGTCCTTTGGAAAGCCGCCATGCCTCTCTGAGCCCCAGCGTGCAAGCACACTGCAGGCTACAGGGGCCCCTGCAGGACCGGGTCATCCAGAGCTTCAGGAGCCTGGCTCCTCCGCCTGGCTTCCCCATCTTCCACTGGTGAGTGCATCTTAGTGACTTCCTTCCAAGTGCTTCTCCCAAGCTCTGGAAACTCAGCATCTTCAGACACTCAGACAGTGAAGCAGAGACCACAAAAGGCTTGTACAATTGTCTCCTGCCCTGGAGTATCAGGAGGAGAGCAGACTAGAAACAGGGGCCTTAAAAAGAGCCTCGGAGACCAAGTGCTCACCGGGGATTTTTGAAAAGTTAAATGGTAACTATTGCCCGAATTTTGGATTTGCGTAATTTGGCATGATGCTGTCTGAAGTGAACACTCACATAATACTCACTCTAAGCCATCCTAAATTGAAGAGGGCCTTTAAAAATCGGCGAAAAAATCAAATATATTATCTTCTTCTGCAGATTAAAAAAAACTGCAGAAACCATTCCCCCTTCCTCAGGCTCTCGCCTGCCCTCCCTCCTGAGTGCAGTGAGGGGAGGAGCCCATCTAAAGACCTTGTAGGATCCAGGGATACATTTTCTGTGCGTACTTGGCAGAGCAGTCAGCTAGAGGGCACAAAGAAAGAAAAATTAGTTGGATTAAGTGCCGGTTGATTTTTCACATAAAAGCAACAGCCTTTTCAACAGTCCATACCACACAAGTTAAAAAGAGGTGAAGTACTCTTGAGTTTTTTTTTTTTAAAGACTTTATAATCTACAAATATAATAACCTGCTTCATGTAAGCATATTTATCTTTGTCCGAGTAGATGCTCTAGTAACCACAGTCCAGATCATCCATGCTGCCTGATGGGTTTCTTTGAGGTCCAGGCAACTGCTGTTCTCACCAGCGTTTGGTACCTCTATGTTCATCGCCACTGTTGACTCAGGTCAGGTTAGGTAGTATCACAAAAGGGTAGCCATGTTTGTGGCTGTCATTTTGCTTTTTAAGCATTAAGGGCCATAAAACTTGCAAGGAAAAAGTTATAGACTCATTATTTATTAGAATTTACCTTCCTAGTGGGTGACAGGATACCTTTGCGCCTAAATGAGTACATACTTGCCTCCTTATCGACCCCTAGACAAGGAAACTATGTTCAAAAATGCATTTTGACATTTTGATTTGTGTGTGTGTGATGTGTGTATGTGTAGGCCGTCGTGCAAGCCTTCATGTGCATGTGTGAAGGTGAGAGGCTGATGTTGCGTCTCTTCCTCTGTGGCTCTCTACCTTGTATTTTGAGACAGGGTGTTTCTCTCACGGAACGTGGGGTTTGCCAGTTTAGCAAGATGGCTGGTCAGCAAACCCTTGGCATCCACATGTCTCCTCTCCTTCAGAACTAGGGTTGCTGCTGTCTGTCACTGCCCCTGGCTTTCGCATGGACACTGAGGATCTGAACTCTGGTCCTTAACATTTACACAGCAAGCACTTCCCCCACTGAGCCATGTCCCCAGCTCTGATGCTTTTATTGGTCCATAATGTGGGCAGTGGAGCCCTGTCTCCAGGGCCTTTGCCCTCTCATCACCTCTGCTTCAAAGCTGGTGTGGGTTTTCTCTACAGCTCTAGGGTACCGTGGATAACAGCCTCCAGGAAGTGTCCCATGTTGATGACCCCTGGGACTCTTAGGGTCACTAGGGTCAGCGGCTGCTGAAGAATATTCTTAGTGTAGATTCTAGATCGTAGTGTGTCAGCCGTGCACAGGATGTTTCCCTTCTCCCGCAGCCACACAAAAGGCTTCTGAGCCGTGTTTGCCGGGTGAAGTGTTATTAAAGCTGCTACTGACAAGGATCCCAGGGCCTTTGAGCATGGACTGCTAGGTCAGCAGGAAGTCAGAGAAGCAGAGTGGTAACAGAGTGTGTGAATCCCTACAGACTGACGCAGCCCAGTCCCAACTGGACTTGGAAAGCCAAGTGCGATCTTGTCTTTTTTTTTTTTTTTTTTTTCCTCCCAGAGAATAAACCTGTAGTGTGTTGCCATCTAGTGGAACATATAGAAACTAGAGATTGGTGTAAAATTCACAAAAGCTATTTGCATGAGCTCAGAAGAAACTACTGAAAGTACTCTTTTAAGGCAAAAAAAAAAAAAAAAAATTTAGAGGGGAAACCAAGCCTAACTGTTAATAGCAGTCGCTAGAATAGCTGAGTGGTCCCCTGTTTCTCAGGGGCGCTGTATTTACCAAAAGGTACCTGATCTTGAGCTGATCACCCAGAGGAGAACACTGCATTCTTATTGCCATCGGCCCAGCAGGCGGTTTCTTATCTGAAGTCCGAAACAATGCCTGCTTGTTACTAAGCTATTCTCATGATTTTTGTTTGTTTGTTTTGTTTTGTTTTTTTTTGTTTTTTACCATGTGATATTTAAAGTTTCTGACTATTAGGAGAAGCAAACAGACGCCCTCACACCAAAGGATTTAAAGGATTTAAATTCTAGCCATCATCTCCAAATATCCCATTCTGATGCTTTGGACCTGTGTGCTATCAGAACCAGCATAGGTACATTGTGGACTACCTTACGGTCACTGACTGGATTTGTTTGCTTGTTATTTTCCTGCTGCTAGATCACTCCCTGGTGCCACAGCAGCTGAGTGCGCCTCGAATCTGAAGAAAATCTACACAGTGCAAACAGTACAGGTAAGAGCGGAAAGGGAGGAAAGGGACATTCTCGGCCAGTGAGGGATATACAATAGACAGTCACCCAACTTCACATTTTCTTCTGCCTGGGCGGCCCTTGCTCAGGGCTCTGCCCTGGAGTCGTCTTTTAGGCCCACCTTCATAGCAACTGTTCATCCCTCTAACCCAGAGGCTGGCTTTCTCCAGCCCTAGGTAAAACTTCATCACCAACATCTTTCGTTGATCTGCAGGGGAGGCGAGGGGAGTACGCAGCTAAGAGTGACGGTTTTAAAGACATGCGTCCATATTCCTTGCAAATGTCCGTGTGTCAGCCATGCTCTGTCTCTCTGTTCCTCTGAGTCTCTGTGTAACTGGTGTACCAGTGCCATCTGTCTCCATGGGTCACCATGGAGACCGAGTACAACCATATTTCCACTGCATTCGGCAAGATACTTGATACGCAAGAGACCCCCTACAGGTCCTTAGTTCTATTTAGCTTCTCTGTGTCTGTCTCTTTGTGTGTCTCTTCCTTCCTTCCTTCCTCTCCCTTTCTCCCTTCAAGTGTGGGGTGCGTGTGTGCGTGTGTGTCTGCATGCATGTGAGGGTCAGGGTCTAACCTTGAGTGTCATTCCTCAAGCACAGGGTCTCCCCCTGGCCTAGAACCTGCCTAGTAGAGGCTGGGCCAGCAGGCAAGGATCCACTTGCTTCTGCGCTCAGCTCAGCATTAGTGAGAGTAGAGGTGACAGCACTGCACCTGCCTTTTGCATGCCAGTGCCGGCGAGTACTTTATTGGCTGAGCCATTTCCCCCAAGACAAACAGATTCCAAAAAAAATTGATTTACTTTGTTAATCGAGTTTCCCATTTCTTTCCAAGCAAACTCCATCAACTGCCTTTCCCTGGGTGTCCTTTCTAGCTGCAGATACAAGGCTTTGGGGCTGTATCAAAGCCATGCTGGCTACATGTCATGGGTTTCATGGGTTTTCTACAAGTTATAAGTAGCCCCTGTGAACATAGTTCCATTTCTTATCTTCTTGGGAAAGTGACATAAACATGTGAAAAGCAAACAGCGTTGCTCTAGGGTTACCATTCAGGGCTGAGGGCAGTATCATGGAGCAGCCCAGGAGCTGCTGCCCAGAGAGCCAGAATCCTCAGAGTTGGGAGAGCTTCCCCTTAGCTTCTTTTTGGTGAATGTGTAGGCTTTTGACACTCTTCCCAGAAGCCATTTTTATAAACCTCAGAGCACAGGCCCACCTGCCTAAGGAAGCTCTGTAACCCTGTTGGGATTTTTGAAGGATTCCTCCTTCCTCTGCTCTGTTGTGACTGACAGGAGAGAGGGTCAGCATGGGGTGTGGGATCCCAGGACAGAGGCTAGAAGGTGAACTCCCCACCCTAGCATGCTAACCGTACTTGTAACAGGGTTTGCATCTACAGTGTATCTGTTAGGATCTTTAGGAACCAATTTAAGGGCCTCAGGCTGACACACAGCAGAGACTTGTCTTTATTGTAATGAGATGCAATTAGTAGGATGCAGTTTCTACGTTTGGACTTTTAAAAACTAGAATGCGTGTGTCCTTCACCAGCATGTCTTTACACACCCTGCCCATCTCCTCCTCCCATTGCAACCGCTCTTCCTGTTCTGCCCGTGTATGGCCTTCCTCTTGAGACTGAGCTTGAGCCACGGGGAAGCATGCAGAACTGTCCTCTGCTCCGTCTGACCTCTTTTCACCCAGTTGGTATGAAGGACGGAATGAACGGAAGAGAAATGACTGCATGCACAGATTTCCTGGACCTCCACGAAACTTGTCTCAGAAATCGGTAGCCAGTGGTGGCTGCACATTCCCAGCGGGTCAAAAATTCAGTTCACTCAGGACCAGATCTTAAATCTTTGTGTGTACGAAGCACTGACGGATACACAGCCTATAGATGAACATAGGTTTCCCCCGTGATTTGAAATTTTTTCAGGGCTGATTTAGAAAGGACACCTTCAAGATGGCGAGAGGGGACAACAATGATAAGGAGGTTGTGAAACACCTCAAGTCCCTTATTTGCACAATGAATGTGAGAACAGATGCTGTCCCATGAGGCTGATGAAGGATAAGTGAGACCTGGATGCAGCTCTCTGTGGGGCCTGTGTTTATAAGCTCTTACAGCAAGTTGCCAGGGTTACTAGGTTACTGGAATCTGCCTCTTTGGTGCCTAGGGCATGGGGCTGGGGGTCCCACTGTTTGAGTGCCATAGCTGGCACTTGCTAGCATGTCCACATTTTTCTTTCTCTTTAAAGCCTCTGTATGTCTTCTTTGCTCATCTTCAAGGCAAGAATCATCGTGACAGGTTTTATCATGCTGAGGTGAGGTACACTAAAGTAAAAATGCACAGGCCGTGGCCAATGCCGGCAGCATGCCTTGCCTTTCATCGCCCGTCTCCTTGTGCCCATCATTGCAAACACCCCTAAGTCATATTTCACGCAGGAATATGATGCAGCACAGCTTCACAATTACTCATGACAAGTGGATACTCCCCAGGTGGCACCACTAAAACCTTTTATTTATTAAAAACAGATTTGACTTGTCCATAATTTCTGGTAACTCGGCTGTGATCATCTTCAGCATCTCAGGAATGGTCCTTAGTGCTTAAGAACTAGCAGGGGAAAGAGCATTTGAGCTCATGAGGATAGGCCCTGCTTCTGCTATCTTTATTCGCTGGTTGTATGTTGATGCTAATTCTTTCTGCTACCGTAGCGTTTATTTAAACACTTACCCAGCGGTACTCGTGCCCACCCCCATATATGTTTTGATGAAGTTTAAGAACCACGTGCTCTGAGCAGTGGCTTAACATCAGATACATTCTCTTTTATTACCCTGAGTACTTACTGCAAATTCAAGTTTCATGCCTGGTGAGGAGTAGAAAATTACTATCCTCTTTTATAAGCTAGGGAAACTGAGGCTGGGTGGCATGTGACACAAAATTGGCAGTGTAAACAGATGATCATGGAGACTCTCTAAGGCCAGAAATCCATTTACTTCCCCTGTGTGAGGAACGGAGTAGGAGAGGTATCCAGAGCAGCCCATGACCTCTGCTGGGAACACCAAGAGCTACCAATCCAGTATGATTTGCAGGGGAGGGCTGGCTTGTAGTACTTTTTTTTTTCCAGCATTGCCCTCCCATTGACTTTTAGTTCCACCTCCGAAAGCACCCCTTTTCAGAATCTCCATCACGAACCTCAGTAGTTTGGGCTGTCACCTTCATACATTGCCCCTCTGGTCTCACCTCTCCTGTGTCCTACCCAGGACCTCCCATAGACAACTCACAACTGAGATAACAGTGTTTCTTCTGTGAGTAGAGTCTCTGCCTCACTCTTCAAGCAGGAACATCTTCATGAACAATATGTAAAACTCACTGCAGCTGAAAGAAACATGGACAACTTGTTTAAGTGCAATAGTAGGAGGGGGTGGGCCCAGGAATGGCTCAGTAGGTAAAGGCCCTTGCCACCAAGCCTGACTGCCTGAGTTCAAACCCTAGAGTCCACGTGAGGGAAGGAGAGAACCAACTTCCGCAAGCTGTCCTCTGACCTCCATATGTGCATACACACACACACATACACACACACACACATGCGATAATGAATTTTAATATTTTTAAATAGAGGTGCATGTCCCTGATCTGGGAGTCAGGCTCCCTGATGTGCTGGGCTGTTAAAGTAAGTCAGCGCAGCAGATTGCTTTTCAAAGCCTGAGGAACAGGACTGTCCCCTTTCAGAGGTTTCATAAGCCAGGGTTGATAGGGATGACAGGGAAGTGGAGTCATGCCCTGGTCATAACAGAGTCACCAATGGTGGCTGGCATCCTGTTACAGAAGGATGTGGAGCCCCCTTGACAGAAGAGAGAAGAACTAACAGGAAAAGCAGGGCAAAGACTTGAAGGCAATTCTGCCTATACAGAAACCTAATGTCATATATAAGGGGATTCTTCAATTGTCGTTTAATTGACATATTATTTGTATCATGAAACCAACATTTGTAGTCAAACCCAGTTATAGAGAACTAAGAATTAAGTGAGATTGTTCATGGCCCTGTGTATGTTGCAGGAGTAAGGATGGGAAGTAAATGAGATTTTATTTACAAACTACAAATAATTTAGTCACTTCTAATGTAAAACTTGGAGTCTTCCAATGTTAAATCTCTCAAGGGCACCTGTCTGCCTTTTTCTGTTTTACCCATGAACTGTAGAAGCACACCTGCCATGTGTCAGCTTCCTGCCACCTTCGGCCCTTCCGTGGCCTCAGATCATGATGGCCTCTGCTGGGTACATGCACATCCAGACTTCAGGTCCCACTGTCCATATGCTTTCTGTCAATCATGAGGTTGAGTCCTCACCTCCAGCATGGTGGGGGAGGGGATGGGGTGCAGAACGGTGTCGGCCTTCACTTTACCTTCCCAGAGCAGGAGCATTGAGGCTGCGGGGAAGCCCTTGAAGCAAAACTATGCCCCTGAGCTGGAGAGATGGCTCAGTGGTTAAGATCACTGGCTGCGCTTCCCGAGGACCTAGGTTCGATTCCTAGCACCTATGTGGCAGCTTAGTAACCCCAGTTCCAAGGGGATCTGATGCCCTCTTCTGGCTTCTGTGGTCTATGCACTCACCTGGTACACAAGCATACATATAAGCAAAACACATTTAATAAAATTAAATTTAAAAATTATTTTTAAGGGAATATTGCCTCCTCCCGCTGGGGTGCCATCTTCCTCTGCCTTATATCTTCCGTGTGAACCCCAGCCTTATGGGCTGCATCCAGGAAATAGGTGTACACTGCTTTGCTCAAGGTTTCCCCAGACTTTGCCTCTCCGCACTGGGCTGTAACTGCTCAACTCAGACTAAATCAGCAAGCATTCTGTGTGATTATTTGCAAGCCAGCAGCTCTCTGCTTTCAGCCTGGGTTCTGCTGTGACTTAAAAAAAACATCCAGCCAAAGAGGCTGCTTACTGTGTTCTTAGCTCTGATTCTCTCTGTGAGTGCCTTGGACTCAG